GAGCTAATATTATTTGGTGGTAGAGGATGTGAAAGAGAGAGACTTAGGATTGCTTAGGTTTGAGATCTGCATTACTTGGTGAATGGGTGACATGAATCTGTAATGGCAACTTAGGTTGAGGAGTACAAACTATACTTAGGAGCTTCGCATGGATGTTCCATAGGTAGAGTGCCAGTTGCTGTAAAGATCTACCCAAGCGTTTGCAGGTACTCTCTCCCAGTTCTACCATAACATCAGCTTTTCCTAGTTGAGGATGTTGAAGCCAGTTAACTCCATCCATGTATCTTGTCACATACATCCCTTAGTACTCAAAAGCAAACCCACTCCTCCCCCAGGCATATCACTTGTCCTTCTCTTCTTTTATCTTGCCATTTTCAGGCTCAGCTGTTTCAACATTTTTACCTTCCTGATCCCTCCTCATCACCACCACCAAGTACCTGACTAGGTCTCTTTCATTATTTAATTCATATACTGTGTCCTCCAGGAAACATTTTCTGATTCTGAATCCATTTTACTTTCACATCTGAGTTAGTGGTCTCTCCCATATTCATCAGAGCACACTAAACATGTGCTGTGTGTAAACAGCTGCATCATGATTTTTTTTTTTTTTTTAAAGATACTCTTCTGTATTTCTATAGGATGAGAGAAGGGGATGTATTCCAGGTGAAGAGACAGATATGAATAAAAGTGCAGGGACAGATTTGGAGAGAGGACCAGGGAAAGGAGGAAGATAGTAAGTAAAATATGTGGTATATAAAAAGAGCTTATATTGGAGTGAGTAAAATATTAATTAGGAAGAGATATGTCAGTTCTATCTCAGTAAAGCTGGGATCCAAACAAACAAACAAACAGAAACCCCAGAGATTAGAAGAATCTTTTCAGTCCTGACAGAGAAATTTAAAAGACTAAACTGTGATTAAATATAATATTAATGGGCAATGGTTCTCAACTCTGGCTATACTCCTAAAAACACCTGGAGAGTTTTTTTTTTTAATCTCTCTAGTCATGAATTGCCAGCGTTCAGACTGAGTGACAATTTCTAGTCATGGGACCCAGACATTAGTGTTCCACAGGTGATGTAAAAGTTAGCAACTACTATAAGAAGTGGAAAGTAGTTGGTCGGAAAAAGGATGAAAATAAGAGTTAAGAAATTGGATTGTTACTTTTATTCTTCATTGTGATTTTTGGCAAGTAACTTAATTCTTGATGTTCTTTATCTGTAACTTAGTTGGATGATCTCTGGAGACTTTTCTATCTCTAAAATCCTTTGATTTTAATGAAGGAAAATACTTAATGTTACAGAGAAGATTAAGCAGCTGAGTATGGGGCAGATTGGAGTAAGATGTGAGGACAGGTTGGAGGTTAGAAGGTTTAGTTGTTCATCAGTGTGGACAGGACAGTGGGTTCCTAGGATAAACTAGTTGCTTTGGAAATAAATAGAAGGGGGAGTGTGTGCTTTAAGCCCTTGGGCAGCAGTTAGGGACTTTGTATCCTTCTCCTTCAGGAGACTTGATTTAAGTATGAGTATTCAAGGATTTGGTTGCTGTGATTGGATTTTTTCTTATAACTTATTAATATTGTTTGTTTTTAGCAAAAGATTGAATAAAGGAGGCATAAGATATTTAAGGGATGTGCTGTTAATCAGTTTGTACGGTGGGAATAATTCATGGAAGCATTTCTTAGATCATATTCCTTTGGATTTCTGAAAAATGGTCAATTCAGTTCATTCTCTGTTTAGCACCCTGCCAAATTAGAGGTAGGAATCTACTTTGAGTATGTTCATATATTTCTCCTAATATTGTATTATTCTTCATTAGCCGTTTGTCAGGTTGAAGGAAAAATTTGATTCAGAACTATAACCTTTTTAGCTACTTTTTAGCTTTTTTTGTTCATTTATTCCTCATTTATATTTTTTACCTATTGTGATTATTTTATGCCAGATTTTTTAATGAGTCTTTTTCCCCTGGTATTCTCTTTTGGCTTGCATGTCGTCTTCTTGGTAAAATATTTTGGAGATGATTTTCTGTGATTGTTTCTAAATATATTACTAAAAGAGTAAAGTTCTGTCTTTGACCTTACCCAGTTATAATTGTTAGACTGAAGTAACTCAAATTTAAAGATTTAGGGTATTTTGTTTCCTAAAAATAAATCTTTGTATGTTCCTATCAGTGATACTCTTCTCGCTTTAAAAGAATTCGGTTTTTAATTGAATTTGAACTAGCTTTTTAAGGTATTTAAAGCTTGATGATCCTATTTGAAATTGAGGTACTCCTTTTTTTCATACCTCCCTAGTTCAACAAAATGCAGTTCAGACTGTTTGAATTTATTATTAGCTGTTTTATGAAATCGAGTGTTGAAGGAAAAATAAAAGTAGACACTAATCTTTGAGTTTATTTCATATTGTCTTCCTCCATTCTCAGCACTATAAATTAGCTCATGTGCCAGTCCCTAATTGATTAAATAAATAATCATACATTCTTGTTTTCATCTCCAAAAGTTTTTTGCTACGGATAATCTCTAGTTACTCTGAAGTTCTAGATTTTCATAATACAACATAGAATAATATGTATATGAAGGATTAAAGTAAACAGATCTCAGTGAGTTTTGTAAGGCATTGATTATTAGAAAACAGCCAGAGGGTACTAGATTTTTGGGAAGTGTATGTTTATTTAAAATGATAAAGTTACGAGAGTGAAAAGGAAAGGGAAAGTAAAATTAGGAGAAAGAAAACTTGAACAGGTATAAACAAGAAAGGGAGAAGGAAAATGGAGGGAAGAGACCAGGAAATGGGGGTTTAGAAAAAAATTTGAAGTAAATATTTTAAAAAAGAAAAAGAAAGCAAGAGAAAACATAAAATAGGCAAGAGGTGTTACAAATTGGTAGACACAAAGGGTGATCACTTAGTGTTCTGTGAGGCTCCCATAAGGCTGCTGTGAAGAACACTAGGAGTTAAGAGATCTAAATTCTAGTCTTGGTTCTTTGTGTCACCTTGGAGAAGGCAGTTAACTCATCTGAGGCTCAGATTCCTCATCTGTAAAATGCGAACATTGGACTAGGTGATCTTTAAGGTCCCTTCTGGCTCTAAAATTGTATATTTCTTGGTGTGGTTAGTAATTGTGTGAAACACATTCCTGTGGTTAATTCGCAGCTGTTGCTGATTTTAGGACAGCATTATTTGGGGAGAAGGATATAAACTCCCCGAGGGTAGGAGCTTTTCTGTCTTGTTCACTGCTGTATCCCCAGCAGCTAGCACAGTGCTTGGCACATAGTAGGCACTCAATAAATGTTTATTGAATGCATATGAAAAGTATCACTTTGGTGGTTCACTGTGGGAGCATCTAGAGGGCAATCAGGAAAACTAGAGTGGCTTAAGAGAAAGACTGATTTCTTCTGAAGACTCTTATATGGCTAATTTTTCATCTCATTTTTCCTTATTGTGTCCCAGATTCGGAGAACGCATTTGCACATAGTGGTACATTCACGGTCACGAAACTTATAGGGACCAGACATACATATGATGAACTAAACCAGCATATAATCTAGTAGGCCAGTTCATTCCCTTCCTGTCATTGAAAGAAAGGTAGAAATCACCTCTTGTCCTAATGGAACCTGACTGAAAGGAGTACACCTAGTACACAGAACATAGTAGCTACATTGAGTTGGATTTATTGGGTTCATTCAGTTGAGAAGCAAAGTTAGGCTATAATTTGCGTACCGTGGCTGGCAGATTCCAGTGGAATTTTTGTGGCCCACTGCTGTCCTTAGGTTAGGTATGACATTGTTATGCCAAAGGTAAATGTTACAAAAGTACTTGAAGTAAACCATTCAGAACATATATATACACACCAGTCTTTGGAGGTCACAGTTTCAAAATACTCAGGTCCTTGAAATTCTTGCTTTTGGAATTAGATCAGAAACGGAAGAAAAAAGTCACTTTAAATCCCTAGCACTAAAGTAACTATGTATTCATTTGCTTTTCATCTTATCACTTTTATTTAACTTCCGGTTAGGAGTAAGTTTTGTTGATTGATAGGCTGTTTCACAACTGACTAGAAACAGAAAGCACTGAAAAGGTGGGTCAGGAAGTGGAGGCATCCATAGGCAGATATGATAACTGGTGACAGCTGGACATCCTTACTCTGAGGGATGAAAGGGGTAGGAACAATATCTAAAGATCTAGAATATTAGATATCCATGGCATTTTTGAATCATTGAGAAATCAGTCATTTATATTTCATATTAATAAAAGGAAATATGTCATACATTTTTGAAATATTTATCCCAATATTTTTTTTTTATGTTTTATATCTGAATGGTGAAACTTAAATAGTCTGTAAAATATACCTATTGGAACACATCCATTCTTTTGCATCTCTCCCCAGGAGTACTAGATAAATGGAAGGTTGCTATACTTTGAAAACTTAAATGTTTTAAATTCCTGTCTCTCATAGTATCAGCTTGAGATTTTTAGCAGTTGCTGACATTTTATGTTGGGTTTGTAAAAAATTATAATGTTGAGAAATATGTATGTATAAATAGTAGTAGAGATTTCTTAAATGCATTTTAAAAGGATCATATAAAAATTAAAGCTACTTCAGCAAAGTGGGGTTAAATATCTGTGTATCTCAGTTATGATTTTAAAACATAAAAACACAAGATTGCAAATTTCTTAAAGCCATATTTGTACAAAATGTTTTCATTGAAACAAGTCATCTAATTTGTTAAAACCAATGGCAGACATAGTTTATTGTAAAATAGAAATATGAACAGAAGATAGAAATATGAAGGCAGTATCCACTCATAATATTAAATTTCAGATTAGAACATTTTTGTTAAAATCAGAGTCCATTTGGAGTGAATTGAATATATCCATTAAAAATTTGCATACTATATTACATGTTAGGTCATTTAAAAATGTTTTAAATTGCCAACTCCAGAAGATGGATAACAATTTCATTCCTGATGGCAATGAATTTCCTTCTTCTGAATTTTTTTAATAGGTGCACTAGGCCTTCCAATGAGGGGGATGAGCAACAATACCCCTCAGTTAAATCGCAGCTTATCACAAGGCACTCAGTTACCGAGCCACGTCACGCCAACAACAGGGGTACCAACAATGTCACTTCACACGCCTCCATCTCCAAGCAGGTATTTATTGATGGACCAGAATATTTCTCAAAATGTATCTTTGTAGAGTAAGCAAGCATTTTAGTTTTTTAATAAGATAACTAATTATTTCATTTTTCTGGCTCAGTGCCTTTCACTGAGGAAAAGAAAGTTAATACCCTATGCTCATTTTATTTCACTGCAAATTGATAAGGTTAGTGTAAGATGTTTTTATCATGCTTCGAGCATACTGGTTGTCAGCGGGGTGGGTATCAAGGGTTAATCACCACCTGGGGAGCTTTTTCAGAAGTCAGCTCTTCCTCAAAAGAGGATATGCAATTTAAAATCATTCTTCAGATAATTATGATTATTGCTCCCTCAACACACATACATTGCTCTAGTGAGTAAAATAAAACAAGATTGATTACAGAGATGATGCATATTAGTTTGAAGAAGATAGAATGACATACATTTGGAATGAACTTATTTTAAATAAATGCATGAAATACATTTGTATTATTTTATGTCCTAGTCACACCAATAGTTTTCTCATCTTAAATATCACCTTATACTAGTTCTGCTATAATTTACCCGATTTCTTGTTGGTTTGTTTGACTTTTCAAAGAGCTAGAATGACCAGACAAAAGAATTAAATTAATGAAAATTAGTGGTGTAATTTGAAAGTATATTTGAGGTTCTGGGGTTAGGCCAATTGATTATTTACAGAGAATTTTAATGAGTGATTGTAGAGAGCTTATTTAGTATAATGGACTTCTTTTTCAGGGGTATTTTGCCTATGAATCCTAGGAATATGATGAACCACTCCCAGGTTGGTCAGGGCATTGGAATTCCTAGCAGGACAAATAGCATGAGCAGTTCAGGGTTAGGTAGCCCCAACAGAAGCTCGCCAAGCATAATATGTATGCCAAAGCAGCAGCCTTCTCGACAGCCTTTTACTGTGAACAGGTAAGATGTTTATTGATACTGTGTGTCATTGTTTTTCTGGATATTTTCAAATTTGCCTTCTCATACTCAACATTCTGTTCTTGAGTCTTGGCTTCTGTCTCATAAGTTTGTTTCATCATATTTTTATGACCAAAGATTCTCTTTCTGTTACATGTTACAACTTCAGTCTCCCCAAACTTAAAGACACTCCTTTGAAAGTTAGTTTGATTTTGGAAAGCACATTAGAGGTTTTTGTTATTGTTAGAAAAGAATTGTTCTTAAGTTGCCACTAGGCAAATTTTTGTGCTTATGTCTTTTGTCGGTTAAAAGGCTGGCCACTTATATGTAAGAGTTCCAGACTTATGAACAGTAGTGGGGATATGTTTGACTATTACTGCCTTGCTTTCCTTATGCTTTGGTTTAGTACTCTTTCAACTGAAATTCAGTTTTGTGCTTTGGAGACTTAATGACCAAAGACTTTTTAAGACTACATTTACAATATTCGAAAATAGTGTCATGTTCTGGGATTTAAAATAAGAAGATAAGCTGTTGTGTTTTTTCACTCCTTTTTGCACTTCCATTTGCATACGTTTACTGTGCAAGTGATAATGACAATACGAAGACCAGTTGTCCATTTTATTAGGATTTTTAAGCTGTTCGGGTAATTTATATGAGAGTAATGCAGTGTAAGGCTTTGTATCTTGAAAAAATTGTGTTTAATTTTGCCAGTTTTTTTCACCTCCTTTTTTAAAATGGGGAACTGTATGAGAATAAAGGATCTTGATCTATTTGCTATCATCTCACCCATTTAATTCACTTTCTTTCATCTACTGCTTGTAAAATGTGGATTGAAAATAGGTTATTAGCACATTTCCTGTTTGAAATTTATCCCATGGGCTCTAGTTCTTTTATTTAGATTTATGAGTATTTCTCTTAATAATTTACTACTCTTAATTTTAAAATAACTACTATTTGTAAAGGGTCATCAAAATTCTTATCTACTTAATAGCTTCCTAATCATATACTTCTTGGACTTTATCACATCTTTTCTTGTAGTATTGTTTATTGAATGTGTATTTAAATTTTTGCCTTACCATATTTTTTCACATTTTGTTTCCAAAAAACACGTTATTTATAAATTGTCAATGAAACATGGGTCTCTATAACCCTGCTTATTACTATTGATAAGTTGTATTTGTTATAGTATGTTTTCATCCCTTCAGTGTTTGAAGGTACCTATATCAACAATTCTAACATGCTATTAATTAAACAAGTGTTTCTAATGGCTTTCCTACTCTTCTCCAGAGTATTGTTGTTTCACCAGCTCCATGTTTTGTGAAAATATTGTTTGGCCATAGTTTTACAAAGTTATACACACACACAAAAAAACAAAACCAAAAAACCCCATCATTTCCACAAACAGTTTAACCCTACTCATAACACTGATAACACTGTCTTTTGTCAGATTATTTAATGTTAAAGTTGCATACTTTCATTGTAGAATTTGCATTAATAGCTGTTTTTGACATTCTTAATTACTTCTGGCTTTGCTTTAAGTTCAGACTTCTTTCTGTTCTCTCATGTTTAGCCTTTTGCAGAAAAAGGAGGCATTTGTAACTTATCAAGTACCAGTTGTGCATTAATTTAGAATGGAGGGTTCTATGGAGAGATTTGCTTTTTTCTTTTAGGTAGCTGAAAGATAAACTATATTTAGATTAGAATGACATTTTTTTTTTTTTTAGAACACTAAACTTAGTTAAAGAAAAGCACCATTTAATTCAGGTAAATGAAACATTTATTGAGTGCCTGTTTTATCCTCCTGAACAATGAAGGCAGAAGATGCAGAGATGACCATGACATAGATCCTGTCCATGAGGCGTTTAGATTCTAGATGGGGAAAACTCTGTATGAAAGATGATCTTTTATGGAAAGTGATAATGGTAAATGGTATACTTACCAGTAGTGGAAGGAAAACAAATATTCAGGAAAAATAGTTATGCTCTAAACTGCATGTTTTTAAGGTTAGTTACGTCTGCCAGTGTATCCAGTAAGTTGGCTCTCCAAGTACCTAAAATAGTACTATTAATCTCTGTTTTCCTCAAGGCTTATGTGCAAATTCTTTGTTTTTTTTTGTTTTGTTTTGTTTTTAAAATCATCTGTTTAAGACATTTTGGTTCTCAGTTATTCATGGAAGGACTTCAGGAGGGTTTTTAAATAAAGGTTAAACTCAGAAAAATAAAATTAGTATTTGTTTTTAAAAACATACTGTTGTTTTATATGAGGAGATCAAAAGTATACACTTTTGTTTTTCTTCATCTAAAAGTTAGTGTTCTTACTGTATATCTAAAATTATTTTCTATGTACCCAGTATGTCTGGATTTGGAATGAACAGGAATCAGGCATTTGGAATGAATAACTCCTTATCAAGTAACATTTTTAATGGAACAGGTAAGCTTATTCTGGAGGTAGTAACCTATAAAAAATATGGTAGATCTTTGAAATATAAAGCAATTCAACATACTGGTCTTAAAATATTATAGGATTTTTGTGTTAAACTGGTAGAATTTAATTTAGTGAGGATTTGACAGGAATAGGATTTAATTCAGTGAATAGTTGAGAGATATTTAAATATATTTTTTCACTTGATATGGTAATAGCATAATATTATAACTTTAGGACTATTTCCTTAACACCTAGAGAAAGCCTAAACATTAATTTAGTCTATTGCCTCAGAATATCTTTTGCTTCAAGAGCATTTTCTAGCTTCAGTCCTGTCACTGCAGTCTAAATTAGATTGAGTGGTATGGTATTCTGGCTATAGAGACCTAGACTGAAGAAATCTCTAAAATTATATTGGAGCACTTAACAATTTTTTCTTAATAATTTTAATAATTGGCATTTAACCCTTGGGGGTTTTTTTAATCCAGTTTTATGTGTAAATTTTAATTACATAGAATTCTGATTTTGAATTCCTGTGGTCTGTTGGTTTATTTCTTTTATCAACTGCTTCAGAGAAAGAGAACAAGAGGCTTTATTTCTATTCTGCTTCAGGTTTCACCCTCTTCCACCCTTGCCTCCAGACCCTTTCCTGAGAAAAGATATAAAGGATGTTGTATGGCCATAGGAGCAAAAATAATGAATGTGATCATTCAGAGAGATCTATACATAAAGGAAATGGAAGGGAAAGAATGATCAGTGGAATGTAGCATATGTGGAAGCAGGAGACAGGATTTAGTAATGAAATGTCATTTGTGACTATGAGCTTTTAATTTTTAAGTGTTATTATATGTTTAGCAGCATAGATTGATCAAATGAAACTTTAAAATTCCAAATTTTAGCATTTAAAAATTACAGTTTTGTGTTCAAGGTGTTAAAATGCTATGAAGTACCATGTTCCTGTTGTTTCTGAAATGCGCACTTTTTTCATATCATCTCTGAAATCAGGCTATGTATTATAGTTTAATTGACAAGTTATTCTTTTTTTCCTGAATGGATCATAAAGTAACAATGTGTCTGACAATGCCATCTTATATTCTGAATTATGGTTTCATACACTTCCATAAATTTTTAAATTATTTCTAAAATTCAGTTTTAAGTAAATTTTAACTATTTTTAGAGAAATTGTTTCCAAGTCTTTACCTAAAAATATAACTTGGGGGTTTACTAACTAATTTTTAGGTTAAAATTATTCTCCGATAATATGACCATTTTAAATTCCATTTTACAGGACCTGAAGATGTGTGTTAAAAGTTAATATATATTCAGCGTTTCTAGTTAATTTATAACTGTGTAACTATAATAATTCAAGTAAGATTACTTTTATAACTTGAAACACTGTATAAATTTCTGTTGTCTTTTTATGTAGTAGTATCTTTTTAAAAGTTCATAAACTACAATTGGTTTAGAAATAGTGGGCATGATTTTATATTTTACTTTTCATATTTTTAAATTGAAACTTGATTTGGAATGTTAATAGAGTGTTCTGTTTTTCTATCAACAAAGTAATCTTGAGATAATTAGTTTCTGAGATTCTTCTAAGTATGGAACTTGGAGAAAAGTTAAAAATTAACTGAAAGGCCAAATAAATTGAAAATGCTATAAAACATTAAAACATTAGACAAAACAAAGATTAAAGAAAAGCTATAATATAGGCTAGAACTAAGGAAATTAAATTCTTCAAAAATTAAGAATGTAAGATTGTAAGAATAATAGAATAATAAAAGTTGAGAAGAAATCAAGGAGATAATTAAAATAGGCAAAATAGAGGGGCCGCCTGGCTGGCTCAGGTGGTAGAGCATGTGACTCAACCTTGGGGTTGTGAGTTTGAGCCCCACATTGGGTGTAGAGATTACTAAAAAATAAAATCTTTAAAAAATAAAACAGGCAAAGTAGAAATGTTGGGTTAAATTTTAATTTTTAAATGGAAGTGAGCCAATATTTTTTTCAATTAAAATGAACAATAATTTTATTCATTTACTATCTATTTATTGAGCGCCTACTATGTAATAAGTAATATAAACTTCTGGACTTTGTATCATATTCCCATGCTTTCCACACACCTGCCAGACATGGGAACCCTGCTTATAACCTGGTCCATACAATCCTACTTATATTTCCCAACTGTAAAACACACATATACATGCACACACACATTTGTGTATGGGACAGGTAGGTCACAGGACAGAAATCCTTAGAGTTTCTGCTTCCACTGCCTGTGTTTCAGATAAAATTCTGGTCATTTGCAAGAGGCACTGTCACTATCATACCTGTGTATGACTAAAGCTCCAAGCGTCCAGGTACTACCTCTGTCTCTGGATATAATGAAAAGAGCGATTACATCACAACAGTCTTTTTTTTGTTAGCTGACAAGCTGTAACTTTAGAAGGCCACCCTTCTCGGGGAAATAATGTCCCACCTTACTCCTTATTGTCTGTCTTAAGTCACTAGGATTTGAGATTTTTTTTATGCTAGCTACATACTGCTTTACTGAATGATTCATGAAATTCTTTTGTGTGAGATCAGTTCACCTGATCACCTACACATATCTAGTACAGTACTGGGTATTATTTAGGAAGAAGATACTGTCTTTTCAAATTACATTATGGTTGGTCTTCAGTAATCTCTTTAAAATGTTTGTAGAATCTGGGTGCCAGGCTGACTTAGTAGAGCATATGACGCTTGATCTCTGGGTCGTGAGTTCAAGCCCCATATTGGGCATAGAGCTTACTTAAAATAAAATGCTTGTAGAATCAGTAACTAATGTTCTTTCTCATTATTTAGATGGAAGTGAAAATGTGACAGGATTGGACCTTTCAGATTTTCCAGCATTAGCAGATCGAAACAGAAGGGAAGGAAGTGGTAACCCAACTCCATTAATAAACCCCTTGGCTGGAAGAGCTCCTTATGGTAATTAAACTTTTTAATGATGGCTAATGGAAACTTTCCATTGCACACACACATGCATTTATACATTTATATGCATGTGCACGTGTGTACACACACACATATATGTTTTCTAATCAGGGTAGTATAGTTTTGTCAGAGCTGATACATGCACAGTGCATTTTCCTCCCAGAATACCATGATAGAAAAGTTAAATGGGCAAACAGTTTGTATAGAAACCCCAAAAGGAAATCCTAATTGGTACTCAGAGGTTATTTTCTTGTGACATTTCTGTCTTACTACACCTTAGTGATTATTTGTGGTCTGCCTTTTCTTAATTCATCACACGTTTTTTTAAGTCACTCATTTAAATCCTGCATTCTTATTGATTAATGATGACCAACCACACATGGAAGATTTTTTCTAAGCCAGTTTCTTAACCTCCACACTACTGACATTTGGGTCAGATAAGTCCTTGTAAATAGGGGGCTGTTGTGTGCGATGTAGAATGTTTAGCAATTTCCCTGGCCTCTGCCTACTTGTTGCCAGTAGTAACCCCCTCCCCATCATTGTGATAATCGTAGGTGTCTCCAGACAGTGACAAATGTCCAATGGGAGAAAATATTGTCTTCTGTTGAAAACCACTGACTCCTGGGTCATGGATCATTTATGTAGACTCTTGGTCACAATTAAAACCCTTTCTCACTGTCTCTAATAAATAAGAGATTTGGCTAAATGGAAAGAGGGGGGCGTGAAATGTGTGCAGTAACAATTTAGACAGGAAAATTATATATAACTGCAGTGCAGCCATATTCTTCTTATGCATTGCACATAGTTGTTTCCTTTTGGGAGAATTTGGTAGATAACAGTACTAGCAACAATGAACTTAGAGGGATCAGTTCATAACTTTTCTAAGATAACTGTTTTTCCTATTTTCATCCAAGAAGGATTTCTTTGCCTTTCAGAATATGAATACAAATAACAATATGTGAAGAAGGGAAAAATATATTGTTAATATTCTAAAGTTTCCAAATTAGTCTTCCAAAAATAACCAAAAAATGATCTGCCCTGGAAGTTGAGTACCTAGCTACTTGATTCTCAGTTCAGACTCTAATGTTTTTAACCTTTCCTCATAGGTCCATTTTTTCATCCCTTTAATCATTCCCGTTGCTCTCCTTGGACCAACTCTAGTTTCTCCATATCGTTCTTGAATTGTGGAGCCCCAAACTGGATATTGTTCTCCAATAAGGGCCTGACTAATGCCAAGTATAGTGGGAGGATTACTTCCCAGTTCTTGCATGTTTTACATCTATTACATGGAGTCCAAGAAAATCTGAAATAATATGGAGTTGTTTTATAATTGATTGCAATTTGCTCACTCTGTAAGTCACTTTCAAGTAGAATACTGACATGTTCTTTTAAAATTTATTTTGTTCATTTGTATTTGACAGTTAACTGGTATTTATAATAGCTAGTCAAATATTTAAATCAAGCTTTAAACCAAAACTTTTGATAACTATTACCAATATCAAATTATGTTTTTAAGCATCTATATATGACCTTAGATTTAGAATTATAGGATTACCACTTAACTTCCCTTGTACTGCTTTGTATATTGAGTTATTAATCAGTATATAAAAGTTTAGTTCTTCATTATTATCCTGAATACTAATTTTTTGAAGTGTGTTTTCATAGTGTAATTTTAAAAAATCATTTTGGTACAGTATCATGAGGAAAGTTAATTTTTTATAATTTGTAGAAAAATACCATAAATATGAATTGCAATTCTCTGGATTATTTTCATTACATAGTTGGAATGGTAACAAAACCAGCAAATGAGCAATCCCAGGACTTCTCAATACACAACGAAGATTTTCCAGCATTACCTGGTTCCAGCTATAAAGATCCAACATCAAGTAATGATGACAGTAAATCTGTAAGTAACTGAGAATTATGTATGTGAGTGATGTAGTTTTTTTCCCTTCAGATTTCTCTTGTATTAACAGTTTTATAGACTATATTAAGGACTTACTAAATACTATTACAAAATTGTTTATCTTGAATATCTGTAATAATCTAACTTCTGAAGAATGTGGAAAACCTTTATAACTTAGAAGATAGCCTATTTTTTTCCTATTTCATATAGGTTTGCAAATTTCTGTTGAACTTCTCAGAGTTAATTTAGACTTTTATTGTAGTCCCTGTCAGCTGGATCCCATGAAGTTTGATATTATAGCCTTCTAAGGAGCTGTGTTTTTCTTGAGTAAGTTTTCTCCTTGAAGAATCTTTATACACATTTTTATTCCTGTGTTGATTCAGCCAACTCAGCTTCCTCTTTCTGACTTAACGAATGTGTTTATTTCTTCCACATTTCACTGAAAATAGCTTTTTTGTGTGTGATGGGAGTTTGTATGTATTGTTAAAATAATTGATAAAGAAGATTATTGGGTAAGAATTAAATATGAATTCTTAAAGTTTATATATTCTAACTTATCCTGGAGGTTTTTATGCTGATATTATAGGCAACATACTATAGTATTCTCTTCTAAATTAAAGTACTGAAGAGGGAAACTTGAAGCAAAGTTCTGAGATTTTTTTTTTCTGTGACCGAAGATCTGAGATTAAATAAGAATATTTTCCATATATTTCTTGTCCTTTTAATACTGAAATGTGTAAAATACAGGATTTATTCATAAACCATGGGACGGTTGTGGAAACAAAAAATTTCATGTAGAACTTGAAAAACAGGTAATAATTTACTACCAATTTAAATATAATAAAGAATGAATAGAAAGATAACTAATATGTGAACTTGAAATTTTTACACTTAACAAATTTTAATGTCACATTTAATTTTTTTCACGTTAGAATTTGAATACATCTGGCAAGACAACTTCAAGTACAGATGGACCCAAATTCCCTGGAGATAAAAGTTCAACAACACAAAATAATAACCAGCAGAAAAAAGGGATCCAGGTGTTACCTGATGGTGGGACTCTATAAAATACCTCAAAGATATTATAGAATTCATTTCTTTGCTTTTTTCTTAAAGATAAAATTACTGTGTTGTTCTTGTCCAGGTCGGGTTACTAACATTCCTCAAGGGATGGTGACGGATCAATTTGGAATGATCGGCCTGTTAACGTTTATCAGGGCAGCAGAGACGGACCCAGGAATGGTACATCTTGCATTAGGAAGTGACTTAACAACATTAGGCCTCAATCTGAACTCTCCTGAGTAAGTTTTCCTTTTTCTTTTCTTCTACATTTGTATGTAATACCTATTTGCAGATTTCTAGGTTTTAATTTCATGTGATCAGATTGTATCACTTGTAGCCACTCATTGTTGCTGTTATGTCTTGACTCTTTGGGTCATTCCCTCTCATGTTAGCTTCTGGATTACTATCACTTGATAATATCATTCCTCTTTGGCAGTTTCAGAATACACATACATGATCATTCCAAAATCCTGACATCTTGGCTCATTGAGTTTCTCACCTTCAAAAATCTTACTCTCTGCCGTATCTTAGCTACTTACATATTTAGTCATCCCTTTGACTTTGCCATTATCTGTAACTTCAGTTTCTCTATAATTTTATCTGTGCTCCCATGCCACTTCCTGTTTTCCATCTTTCTCCCTCTGGTTCTGGCTCCTATGATCATTTGACTCCTTGGGATCTTCAATCCATTGATTACTCTTATCTTTTCACTGTTCCACAACACACTTCTCTTCCCCTGAGAAGGACTCACTTCCTTCTTACCCAGTTAAATTCTGTGGTCACTCATAATTGTTTATATATACCCTTGGCTACTTTGCCCCTCTCTTGCTTTTTGTCATGATTGTGTGGCAGAAACTACAACCCTGGTTATACTCTGTTTTCCATTCTTGACCTCTGCTACTGAGCCTGGCTAAAGAAAACCACACAGCTTCAGTGCCTGGTCTCATTTCTCATTCATGGCCAGGAACTTCAAAAGTAGGCGCTTAATTCTGCCATTCATACCTGGCGTGCTTGGTCCATTCATTCTTTTGTTCTCCTATGCAACTGTTTCACATTTGTCTCTTCAGACATCTGATTATCTTTTTCCTTGTCCTTATTCTCAGATGAAGACCTTGCTTCCCCCACCCCGCCCCAAGTTTTTATTTAAATTCCAGTTAGTTAACAAACAGCGTAATACTAGTTTCAGATGTAGAATTAAGACCTTGTTTTTTATTTCTACTTTACTAAGAAAGATGGAAATAATCAGAAGAAAATGTCAGCAGTCCTACCACCAAATCTGTTTACTGTCTGTATCCCAAGACCTTATTCTTATTTTCCACCCTGTTGATATAGTTGATCCATGCTTTCTACTTAAAATGTCTCTTGAAAACTCAAAAGACGTGGCTCTAACAATTTTTTGTGCTTTCGTTGGGTCATTTCCATCAGCATACAAATATTCTATTACTTTCTTTATGTTAATAAAATGCCTTCTTTTTATCTAACTTCTATGAGTTAACTGCCCTTATTTCTTGGAGAGCAAAACTCTTCAAAAAGCCATCTTTGCATCTCCCATTTGTGTTCTCCCATTCTCAGTTAAACCCATTTCATTTAGAGTTTTCCCTCACCACTTCACTAAAACTACTCTCATGGAGGTCATCAAATGGACGCGTATGTTATTAAATTCAGTGGTTGCTTGTAGGAATTTATCCTCCTTGACCTGTCACCGTTTGACATAGTAGATTCATTGCTATATGTTTCTCACTGCTTTTAACTGCTGCCACCCTGGTTTGAATCGCCCTCCTCTCTTGCCTGGATTACTCCATTAGCCAGTCATCAGGTATCCCTGATTCTCTCTGTGTCCCTCGCAGTCTCTTCTTTATTTAGGAGCCAGGACCATCCTTTTTGAATAGGTTAATCTTCTGCGCACTGCTCAGTGAGGGTTTGTGGTTTCATTATGAATAAAAACTTAAAATCTTGGGATGCCTGGGTGGCTCAGTCTCTTAAGCATCTGTCTTTGGCTCAGGTTATGATTCCTGGGATTGAGTCCCTCATTGGGCTTCCTGCTCAGCCCATTGGCAGCCTGCTTCTCCCTCTCCCTGCTGCTCTCTCCCTCTCCCTGCTGCTCCCCTTTTTCATGCTTGTGCTTTCTCTCTGACAAATAAATAAATCTTAAAAAACAAAAACAAAAAACCAAAATCTTTATAGGGCTATTTATCTTTATAGGCATCTTCTCCTTCCCCCACCTTAATAGCTTGTCCCTTTGTTCACTCTGTTCCCAGCTTTCGTGGCCTTCTTGCTGTACCTCAGACATGTCAGTCATATCCCCACCTTAGTTATTCTAGCAGTTCCCTCTGACTAGAATAGTCTTCTGCCAGATAATTAATAGGGCTAACTCCCTCATGTCTTTAAAGTCTTGTTCAAATCTGATCTTCTAAATGAGACCTAACATCACTGCTTTATTTAATGCAACTAATCTCCCATCCCTACCTCTCCACAAACATGGAATATTATTTATTATGCAAATTATTTTTGTCTGCCTCCCTCTCATCTATCATCCTCAATCAGAAAGTAAGTTTCATGTTGTCAGTTACCTTTCTTTTGTTCACTAATGTATCCAAATCACCTAGAACAGTGCCAGGCATACAGCAGACACTCAGTAAATATTCGGTGAATTTGATCTTTAGCTTTTAATAATTACTGATTTTTGGGGGGAAAGTAATTTTACTTGGGGGCATGCTGTTAATCAGTTTAAAGCATTCTGAGTTGAAGTTAACGTGTAAATGTGAATGAATGAATATATATATATATATATATATATATATATATATATATATACACATACACACATATATACATAACTTAATATATACACTTTGTGTATATATATGTATACACACACACACACCCCTAGTTAACTTGTTTCATTTTTCTGTGTAAGTCATAGTAAACACGTGAAAAGAAATTAGAAGTAAAGATGCTCGTCTCACTTTTGAAGTCACTGTTTTTCTGAAATAAAAACTGAAATCTTTTTCTGCTTCGGACTTCAGAGTGTTTGTTTTTTTTCCCCTCTTATTCAGAAATCTCTACCCCAAATTTGCATCACCCTGGGCATCTTCACCTTGTCGACCTCAAGACATAGGTAGGAGAATCCATTTGCGTTCAGACCTTTTAAAAATATTTTTTTAACTGAGAATCAGTTAATAAGGCTTTTTTCATTTTATTATCCAGACTTCCATGTTCCATCTGAGTACTTAACGAACATTCACATTAGGGATAAGGTGAGTGTAGTTTATTATTCTCCTCAGTCAGCATGAATGTATCCATTTGTCAGGTACTGTTATTCAGTTCAGACGGCATAAAATTTTTTGAAATAATTAGCAGTGGTTTCAGGGGTATGCTTTCATGTGTGTCCATTCAATTATGTAAAACAATTTTATTTCTATTTTTGTTTATCTTATTGTTTTGATGAGATCCTGGGTTACATTTAAAGAGTATGTTTTAAAAACAGTGGTAGGACTGGTAAAATATTTCTTGTAGCTATTATTAATAACGGTGTAACCGTGGTTGATGAGAATAAACTGTCTTAGAAAATTTGATAAATTTCCTTCTGATATTCTCATTTTACACTCTTATCAATAAAATACACTTTTTACAAATGTTATATAGTGTTTTCAATGGAACAGTATATAAATACATACTTTAAAACTATGACATTTGACTTTTTAAAACGTCTTACCTAAAATTCTAGTTCTAAAGTAACTATTAGCAGATTACAGTTTTAATCTTTTTCTTACTCTTAAAAGAAGAAAATGGTAAATATTTTGTTTAGGGGAAAGAACTAAGTGTTCACTTCTGTTAGAAATTGTGTACCTAGATTTTGGCCTTGAGGAAGGACATAATTTATTAAAAATTACATGTTACACATATGTGTCTAATTTATTATATATTTAAGTAGAAGTCTAAAATATTTCATAAATATATAAAATACATATTAAAATGACAGTGTTCTGTGTCTGTGCCTTCAAGTTGCATGGTCAAATGGATGTTGATTTTTTGGACAGGCAAGTTAAAGAGATACTTCTCAATATGTCTTTTGGTACTTGAGTAAATGGAAGACAAGAAGTATGATATAGAACTAATTTTTTCGGGGTGCCTGGGTGGCTCAGTGGGTTAAAGCCTCTGCCTTCGGCTCAGGTCATGATCTCAGAGTCCTGGGATCAAGCCCCACATTGGGCTCTCTGCTCAGCAGGGAGCCTGCTTCCTCCTCTCTCTCTGCCTGCCTCTCTGCCTACTTGTAATCTCTGTCAAATAAATAAATAAAATCTTAAAAAAAAAAAAAAAAGAACTAATTTTTCCTGTTTGTGGACTATGTGATTTTTCTGCCACCTCTACCATAGATAAGGCTTTTTTGCTCCAAACACCTAAGGGTTCCAGAACCTTTTCTTAGGGCAATTTAAGAAATACTGATTTAGGAGAATTTGTCACCTTCAGAAGTGCTGCTTGAATGGGGATGATATGAATGGAGACAAAAATTACATTCCACGATTGTGTAACAGTTAAATAAACATTTAGATACAGAATTAGGTGAAGAGATTAAAGTGTTCATTTTGGTTAGCCTTTTTTTTTTTTTTTTTTTTTTTTTAAGATTCTATCCATTCACCTGACAGACAGAGATCACAAGTAGATAGAGAGGCAGGCAGAGACAGAGGAAGAAGCAGGCTCCCCACTGAGTGAGAGCCCCATGTGGGGCTCGATCCCAGGAGCCTGGGACCATGACCTGAGCTGAAGTCAGAGGCTTTAACCCACTGAGCCACCCAGGCTTCCCTTGATTAGCTTTTAAATAAAGGTTTATCCTAATACAAGATTTCGATACTGTTAAACTTGATGTTTTCTATTTTGATTGGTGGTTAATGTTTCTGCTTTGTGGAAGGACGTAAGGCAGTCATCTTTTAGTCATCCATTTAAACAAAATAAAGAGAATCCCTTTATGATTTTTGTGTTTACCATCTGTGATTTGCTAAAAATGCATAACCTACTGATTTGTGAATTGCTGTCCAGTGTAGATTCAGCTAACATTTCATACAAGTTTTCTCTGTGATAGGCATTCTTTAAGGTACATTCATATATAGACACTTTATCCATTTCATTTACATTCTTAATAATCTTGTAGGTCTCATTTCTGCATTTTGTATGGAAGGTCATAGCATTAAATAACTTGGATATGATTATATTTGTAAATAATGGAACTGGGTCTTGAATATAAGTCCTACATTTCTGAGCACTGTTTCCACTATTATTACCATGTTGGGTATTAATAAGCCCTCTAGTAAAACAGCATTTGGTCTTGGTTAGAAGTTTTTATATAGCTTTTTATCCTATTAGTACATGAAGTAGATGTACCAGAAATAATTGTTAAATTACTTTAGTTAAATGGTAAAACTCTCCCTTAAAATTGTAACTACCTGCAAAATCATGTAATGACGGTTATCTGCTATAAAGAAAAGAGTTTCTGTTTATCTTTTTATTTTTACTTCAGTGGTAGCAATGTGTTGGGATTTTCAAACTTATTTTACACTTCAGAATAATTGATTTCTCTTTTCCAGCTGGCTGCAATAAAACTTGGCCGATATGGAGAAGACCTGCTCTTTTATCTCTATTACATGAATGGAGGAGACGTATTACAACTTTTAGCTGCAGTAGAGCTGTATGTTCAAAGTATTTTTAAACACTTTTGTATTATAGTGGATCTTGTTTATTCTGAAAGCTTTTCTTTTAAATGATAGTTATGGTTTCTGTCTTTTGTTCTTAAAGTGAAAATATTTCCATCAAGAAATAATTTGTTTTTACATTTAATAAAATCAATTTAGATTGAAAGTTTGTTATCATGGTTAATGGTCACTGTATAAAGAGTTATTTCAGATTTAAATAATCCTAAATTTGTAAGAAGACAGAATTGATTCATGAATTTGGTGAATCTAATTTTTATGAATATTTTTTATAAATATGTGAAGTATAAGATATGGTTCATAACTGTGGCTCATCTTTTTGTGGAAACACATATATTAATGTTAGTGAATTTCATCATTAATGAACATCTATTGAGTATTATATGGGCAAAGCACTGCATACATCTTGTGTGTTTTGAAGTATTGATGAAGTCCACATTCATTATCAGAAGTCTGTTGGCCAACTTAAATAAATTAGTGTTAAGAAGTTGGTCCATGGAATGTTTTTTCTTGAGCATTTCTGTTTTTACCTGATGCTCTAAGAATAAAAATTTTTGTGTCCTTTCTCATATATAATTGGTAGTATATTTTGTTACCAATAGATTATTCTATTAATCATGTTTACTAGAATAAATTGTTATTAAAATTTTATAATATTGTGGGACTCCCGGCTGGCTCAGTTGGTAGAGCATGTGACTCTTTTGGGGTTGTGAGTTTAAGCCCTATGTTGGGCCTAGAGCTTACAAAAAGAAAATTATGATATAGAGACCTAATTTTTACAGATGTAAGTATTTTATAATACTCCTAATAACATTTCTATAAATGGCCTTGGATCAGATACTTAAAAATGTAAAATTCACTATGTTGATAATAAATTGCTTTTTATTTCTCTATTGAGAATTTGTTTTCTCCCATGTTTTCCCCTCATTTTTTGTAACATAGCAACTGTCACCTGTTCTTTTTAATTTATTCATAAGTAAATAAATTCATTTAGTCATTCATCTATCCATTACTGGCAGTTGTGTCTCATATCTTATGTCTAAAAATTATCTCACTTATTAGTAGGAAGGTATTTGTTTACATGGAGGTTTGTTCTACCAGAGATGTTTTTTCTGGTATACTTTTACCTCCTTTGGATGTTACTTTCCCAGTTTACAAGTGATATTAAATCCTTATTGATTCTTGCATGAATTCTAATGGATATCATTTTGGCTTTTGAAAATTTAAGATCAGTGAGATTTGAATTAAAAAAGTAATACATTCATTAAGAATTTTTTAAATGGATATTCTATTTTCAACATAGTTTTAAAATTATGTGAATTTAAATAGATAAAAATACTGTATTTTGTTCCTTATAAAATAATACAAATAGCTGGGGTTTTTGTTTGTTTTAATAGATATCTCAATTTCTATTGAATGTTAAGAAGAACGAAAAAGGAGTGAAGTTTCTGGAACACAATGTATATTTGGTCTGCCTAAGTTTTTAACACACTGCTCATAGAGCTTTTAAGATCTCATTAATGTTTGCATAAAAAAGTCTCTTCAGTTAAATAAAGATGTATATATTAATTAATGAGTGTGGTTTCTGGACAAATTAAGGAATTCTTTTCCTATATTTATTTCACTAAGGTTATATTTAATAACAAAGGGTAAAGAAGCATCCATATTTATGTATTTTCTGTATAATTATTTTCTGAGAAAAATCTTTACAAAATGTAGAAAATGTTTGATGTGAGCCACAGGAAAAAATTAATTGTCTTTTTCTCTTAAAAATTGAAGTTTTAACCGTGATTGGAGATACCACAAAGAAGAACGAGTATGGATTACCAGGGCACCAGGCATGGAGCCAACAATGAAAACCAATACATATGAGAGGGGAACATATTACTTCTTTGACTGTCTTAACTGGAGGAAAGTAGCTAAGGTATATTTTTTTCCATGTGCAAATGTGTAAATGTATAAATCTAGATTTTAAAAAGAAGTATCCTCTTTTATCTGTTTATATGTACCAATACATCCATTCCAATAATGTGCCAGATACTTGCTAAATAAGTTTTTTTGTCTTCACCTCCTTGGCTTGATTTAAATTCTGGGAGAGTATCCGGAAACATCTCATTTCACCCATAGTTAGGAAAATGATTGAACTTGGTAAGAAATTTTGTAATTTTTCACAAGCCTTGGTAACATTTGAAATATTTTTATGTCTACTCAGTTGTAAAATAAAGATCACCCTCTTGCAATCCCAGTCATGTATTCTTATTACTTTAAGCAAGTAGAAGATTTTCCTAAAACTGGTATATAAACAGATAATAGGCTTTTTAAAACACTTGCACTCATTGCAGGAAAGATGCTTGAGTTTTTGTTTGCGAATGATACAAAGAAAGAAAATTGTAAGCATTTAACCATGATTGTTCCTATGACTAGTATGCTGAATATCGGACGGAAGAGGGCTGTGGAAAAAGTTGGTCGTTACGTCTTGTTTTGCAACTTTTCCTCACAAAAACACCTATTTAACTGTCCCATGTGCAAAATTTTCATTAGTGTCATAGCGTATTTCACATTTGTATGTAGTATCTTATGTATAAATTTAGTCTACCTACTAGAGAGTATAACCAACATCTGATTTCATAACTCCCCAAATTTCTTGTTTCCCTTGAGGATTCTTAGGATTAAAAACTAAAGAGTTTGTTTGTTCTCAAAAAATTTAAACAGAAGAAAAATATTTCTTGACAGTCCATTGGATGATTCTTTAGTTGTTGGTTTGGACTTTTTTAACCTTTTGAGTCAACTTTACCAAATTAATAAGAAGGTAAAACATTTTAACAAGATAACGTAAAATGCTTACCAGATCTTTATCACAAAAATGTTTTACATCACAAGAAAATTTAATACAAAACTTGAAGAAGGAAATAGGAAAAGTTGTGCCCAAGTAAAAAACACCAGACAAGACACATAGAAGAGGTTAAATCTTTTTTTTTATTATTACTTTTGGGTGTTTGTCAATGGTAAATGTCATTACTTCTCAGACCAAGTCCATAGACCACCATACTGTATTTGAGTTATTTTATAACCGTTATAATTAATATGCATATCTTAATTTCAGAAGGCAGATCCATGATTTGACCTTTTAAGTAGAAATAATTACATCCATTTCAAGTAGTACAAGAGACATTGTGTATATTACCTGTTAAGAAGTATAGTGTGGTAGAAAGCGATAGCCCTTACATCATAGATTTGAATTTAACTGCTGTTTCAGCAATTTATGCTTTGCCCTTGTGCAAGTTTCTTTTCCATGCCTGCTTCCTTATCTTTTAAATCGAAATCATATTTGCTTTTAGATTGTCATGAGGATTAAATGAGATTTTACACACACACACACACACACACACGCACACACTGAGTACAATGTTTCTCATATATTGGGTATTTGATACATGGGAGTAGTTGTAGTTTGTTGCTGTTTCCGCATTCTTACAGCTTACTACTACTCTTCTTTAAAGATGGAAAAACTATAACTGTTGTTAGGTCAGGTCAGTGGTTCTCAAACTTAACTTGCACCAGAATTACCTGGCAGCCTTATTAAAAACATAAGTTGCTGAGCCATACCTCCATTTTTTGATTTAAGAAGTCTATGCATGGGGCCTGAAGGTTTGCATTTCTGACAATTTCCTAAGTGATGCCAATGATTTTTCTGGTCTTTGAGCCATACTTTAAGAACAGTTGATTGTACAGGAGAGAAAAATGATCTTTGGAGGGGGAAAAGAGTCTTTTAGTAAATAAATGAAGTTTTCTCCATTCGATTAGAAGCTTTTTGCTCAATATCATTGTGTTATTCCAAACTTCTATATGCAAAAAGAATGGATGTTTGTAGTAGATTGATGTATCGTTTTAGTTAAGTTCAGTATAAATGACAGATTTTCTTATGTGAAAAAAGTCAGCTTCCAGTACTACTTTCTTTCCACAAAGTTAAATATTCAGAAGCAACTTAAACATTAATAGGCCCCTTTACTTTCCCATAAAAAGCAATTTCCCACTCACACACATGTCATTTTAAAGAAAAGTGTGTATGTGTGTAGAAATATGTAGTGTGCATATATAAAGTAATTTTACCCAAATTTATCTGATATCCTGTACAGTTGAGCTTTGTCTTAACCTTTACCTTTATAATTTTTAGCTCTGAAGTTGGAAAATAAAATTTGAGAAATATCATTAGACTGTTTCTTTAAGAAATATCTTTTGAGGTAATTGCTGGCCACTGGCACTGACACTTTTCATCAAAATTATTTTCACAATGATGAAAGCAAGCAGAATTACTGGTTTCTACTAAGAATTACACATAGCTCACTTTTGTTATATTAAAATAGATTCATGAACTTAAAACTTTTAAGTTGTATCCTCAGAATAAACTTTTCACAATGGCTTCTGGTTTTTGTTTGTTTTAAAGATGTTCTCAGTGTTTTCTTAAATTGTTTAGGAATTAAGACCTTTAGTTCCATTTAAAATGTATTAACAGTTGATCAAACTACAGAAAAGCCCTAAAAATGCCATGTCCCAAGTTAACCTCAATGTCCCCACCTATAAAGTGGGTGTGGTTTCTTACTCACAGGTAAAGAGCATGCATTATTAAATAACTTCAACTCATTGTAAGAAGCCTGCAGTCTGAATTAGTATTACAAGTAATAGCTTGATGTTATCATGTTATCTTCGGAAAGTATTGACCTGATCTAGACTATTGTCAGATCTCCATCTCACAATGTCTTCTATGAGGTTCTTTCTTTTTTGCAGATTACTTAATATTTTCAGAGATTTGAAGAATCGTTATTAAGAAATTTGATGATTTAAATCAGAAGTATTTTTTAGCCCTGAAAATTCTGTAACTGAGTTCTAGGATCCAGCCCATTAAAGTATTTTTTGTATGTCAATAATGTATACATAAAAATTTTGAACTTTGTTTTTTTCTCCCCTTTTAAATAATCTGGACTTGTCAGCAGGCTATGTGATCTAGCCTTTGTAATTTTAACTAGAATTACTCAGTATCTCACTAATTTAAAAATAGTGGTCATTCAGATTGTATGTGTGTGTGTGTGTGTGTGTGTATTTTTTTTTTTTAACTTATTTCACAGAGAGAGAGTGTGTGAGAGAGGGAACACAACAAGCAGAAGGGAGTGGGAGAGGGAGAAGCAGGCCTCCTGCTGATCGGAGAGCCTGATGTGGGACTCGGTCCCAGGACCCCAGAATCATGACCCAAGCTGAAAGCAGACAGATACCCAATGTCTGTGCCACCCAGGCACCCCCAGATTGTATATATTCTTAATGAGTAGAATTTTTAAAATAATTTCATCCATAGAATTTTCAGGTGATGGAGGAATGCCATATGATCAATAGCTTTCTCAAACTAAAGACTTAAAAATTGAATTCTTTTAGCCTGACTTCACCTTGTAGATCCAACACTGACTAGGATTTCTAATGCTTAGAATTTTTTATAATAACAGAGGCTGATATAAATGTGATTTTTTTCATTAATTTCACTGGTACACATAACTATTAGTATGTCTATACTTAAATCAGTAATACGTACTTTTCGTCAAAGTAGCAAAAAATTATTTCTAATAAGTATATGTAAGATAGTTTGAAACTTCCTAAAATTGGAGGATTTATCTTAGGTAAGACAAAGCTGACATTTTTTGAGAATTAGAGAAAATATTCCTGCAGTATATGTTTCTCTGTGTCATTTGATCAGTGATTACATTAATGCTTTTGTAGTAATTTCATTTGATTATCTGAATCCAGTACATCTATTTTAGTTCTGCTTACAGTGACCTTTTGAGAATATGTAGCCTAGTTTGAGTAACAGAAAAATAACTTTAAAAGTTGTTTATAAAAAGTGTCTAAAATACTTTATAACCTTTTAAATCATTAAATTTTAATGTTTTGTTCTTAAATGAAAGAAACTGGTGTTTATTCATCAGCCATTAATTACATGCCTGCTAGGGGCATGGCACTATATTATAGGCAGCATGTAGTGGCATACAAAAACAGGCCTATTTTTGTCTCTACTGGTTATATAAAGAGGTGTGCATGTGTGTTGTGTGTGTACATAAAACAGATGTGTAAAAGAGATATTGCCAACAGTCAAAGGGAACAGAGATACCAGTATATACTGTAAATTTATGTATTTTAAGAAAAATAAAAATAAACAGAAGACTAAAACAAAGGTAAAAGAAGAAGGAAGACAGAATTTTGACTTATTTAATTTCTGAATCTCTGATGTATGAGTTTTTTAATTACATTAAAAAATGTATTATGTTCCCTAGGTTTAAAACTGATCTTTTTCTTTTAATATGTAGGGAGAAAAATATGTGCACTGATGAAGTTAATCTAGTTTAATTTCTAATAATACTGTGTAGTTCACCTTTGTACAATGACAAGGACAGGATAACTGAACAAAATTTGATTTATGTAATTTATTGGAGCCTGTGATTTGTTACAGTTACAGATTTTTTACCCTGCAGCTATACATCTTTTGGAACTAACTTGCCAGTTTTAATTTCTAAAGAGTGATAGAACAAGAAGATTCTTTCTTTACTCATATTGATATTCTTCTTAAGCCAGGCAATAAATTGCTCTTAAAACTTAGGGGTAGGGAGAAAGAGAGTGGTGTCTACACAATGCATTGGGGGTTGGGAGGGAACGATGGTGATTCTGGAGTTTGCTAGTTTTAATGATAAGCAAATAACCTATGTGCCCTTTGTAGATTAAAGACATTACACTGTCCCTTCTTTAAGAACATTTGTCAGTGAACTGAATTTTTTCAACATTTCTGCATAAGGTGTGTAATGAAGTAAATTTATTTAGATCTTGTGCTAAAACTATTAAAAATAACTTGTTAACACTATGTGGTTATGGGCTTTGGTGCTACATAGGTCTGAATCCTAATCCTAGATCTGCCACTTACTGTATGATTTGGGCAGGTTACTTGGAAACCTCATTTCTTCAGGTGCACAATGAAGATAATGATATTTACAGAAATATACAATCAGAAAGATTAAAATTAGCTGTTTCTCTAGTTTGGGCACATGCTAGGTTTTCAGTTGTTAATGTAATATTCTTAAATTTAAATAATTGGTTTTATATCTCAAAGTTCAATCATTATGACATAGGTTTTCATTTTAATTTAATAATGGGAACATCCATTTTTAGGATCAATTTGAAACAAGATAGGTATGGTAAGATATGTTAACCCATAGTGCTAACTACTTGTTGGCTTTCTTTAATACATAGTATAAATTAAGGTTCATAATGTTTTAAATGGAATTGATTTAGTTTGTGCTGTTACTGAATTCATATTGTAGAATTAGTGATTTTAGAACCTCTTGCTTTTTGGATTTGCAAAGGTACGTTTTTTTGTTTTTTTAACATATACAAAATTATCTTCTCTGTCTTGATCATAGGAAGTATAAAGAGATTACTTCATTCTCAAACTTTAAAACTCTCATGAAGTTAATGTATTTTGAAAGTTCAATTAAAATGAGCTAAATAGTTTGTGTTCAGATGTGCATACAACAAAACCACTATTTAGTTTTGAGTGGCATTTACATCTTTTCAGTGTTTGGGTTTGAAGTGCGAAGTCTAGAGATATGTGAATTGTAAGGTTAGAATAACTTTATGTGTTTGCTTTTTTATAAAAGTAGGTGTAATAATTACAAGTTGGAAAAAATTTTTTTTTGAGGAAAAAGTAAATTTTTTTTTTTTACATCATTGAAGGTTGCCTTTATTTTAAATATCCTGCAATGTTCAGTACTTTTTAGTGACGATACAGTAATTGCTGCTCTGACTTCTACTTTTGAGCAAAAAAAATGCATGGTTTCAGTGGTTATAAAATAGATGTTCATGAGTAGTCTCTGACTTCTACACAGAAAGTCACTTAGCAGAAATGGCAGCACATTACTTTTCTTCAAGCTGTATTTTAGAGGGGTAAAAAAGAGTTGGTACATCTGTGTCTGTTCATTCTCATACATGTAGGTATTTTGTTTACCTAGTAAAATATATTTTGACAAAAATCTGAGATCAGAGGGAGAGGAAATCATCTAAATTCTTAAATTTGGTTTTATAGGAGTTTCATCTGGAATATGACAAATTAGAAGAACGGCCTCACCTGCCATCCACCTTCAACTACAACCCTGCTCAGCAAGCCTTCTAAAAAAAGACTTCCCTTTTCTTGGGGTATGGCTGTCTCAGCACAATACTCAACATAACTGCAGAACTGATGTGGCTCAGGCACCCTGGTTTTAATTCCTTGAGGATCTGGCAATTGGCTTATGCAAAGGGTCACCATTTGAGGTCCTGCCTTACTAATTATGTGCTGCCCAACAACTAAATTTGTAATTTGTTTTTCTCTAGTTTGAGCAGGGTCTGAATTTTTTTTCATTTATTTTCTCTTTTTGCCAGCAGACAGACTTGAGTCTGTAAAGACAAGCAAGTACACTGACAGAAGTTTACCATTTAGTTTCTAAAATGTAAAAAAAGAAAACCCACAAAAGACTCAACAAAATTAGACCACAAAATTTGCATTGTTCATTGTAGCACTATTGGTAATAAAATAACAAATGTTTGTGCATTTTTATGTGAAGATCCTTCTCGTATTTCATTTGGAAAGATGAGCAAGGTCTGCTTCCTTCATTTTACTTCCCCTTCTGTTTTTGAAAGGCAGTTTCGCCAAGCTTAACGCAAGAATATCTGACTGTTTAGAAGAAAGATATTGCCACAATCTCTGGATGGTCTCCAGGGTTGTGTTATTACTGAGCTTCATCTTTCCAGAATGAGCAAAACACTGTCCAGTCTTTGTTACGATTTTGTAATAAATGTGTACATTTTTTTTAAATTTTTGGACATCACATGAATAAAGGTATGTATGTACGAATGTGTATATATTATATATATGACATCTATTTTGGAAAATGTTTGCCCTGCTGTACCTCATTTTTAGGAGGTGTGCATGGATGCAATATATGAAAATGGGACATTCTGGAACTGCTGGTCAGGGGACTTTGTCGCCCTGTGCACTAAAGGGCCAGATTTTCAGCAGCCAAGGACATCCATACCCAAGTGAATGTGATGGGACTTAAAGAAGTGAACTGAGACAATTCACTCTGGCTGTTTGAACAGCAGCGTTTCATAGGAAGAGAAAAAAAGATCAATCTTGTATTTTCTGACCACATAAAGGCTTCTTCTCTTTGTAATAAAGTAGAAAAGCTCTCCTCACTGCAGTGTTGACTTTGATTTGAAATTGTGAAATTATTTCTTCAACATGAAAAGTAGACCCTCCAAACCCTCAAGTTTTACAAATATCTAACTGAATGGTATGACTAAACAATTTAAAATGCAGTCTTTTTTTCAGCTTTTGACAAGTAATTTGATGGAACCATACATCATTTTACTTGTAGGTTAAAAATGCAGATGCATTTTTCGTTATTAACCAAGTCAAAACAAACTATTTTTTTTTTTTTTTAATAATTATGGCTGCATTAGAAATAAAACTTCCTGAACACTTATGGGACCCAATCAAAATACTTCCGTGAGAAATCGGTGAGACATTTCTTGATAGACCTTTGATATTTAGCTTTAAGAATTAATACACAAATTAAGGTAAGCCAAAAGCAGGGATAAGAGACTTTACCTTCAGTGTGCTGGCCTGGATATTTCACATTTACAAGTTGATGGATTCGTTTCCATCTAAAGGCAAATACTGTATTTAAAAATGTCTGAAGACTGAAGCTACAAACACTAGAGATAGAGAGTAAAAAAAGCAGTGAGTTTTGATTTTCTAAATTTTCATTTTTAACCTATTTTTCTATGAAGAGTGAAAGTTTGTTGACATTTACCAAATCATGTTTGAAAATGAAACATTTATGACATTGCTGTGTTTGTGTATCAGGAATATGAAATGAATTAAGATTTACCTTTTTCTATGTATTTTGAGATATGGAGAAACTGACATAAAAATATCAGGATTTTTTAACCTTTCAGATTTAAACCAAAGCATCTCCTCTGTAGGAAAGATGGCACTTATGTAATTATAGTTTTAATTGTTGTGCACAAACCCCTCTCACATATTTGACATAAACCAGAATCAAATCCTAGAAATTGTTTCCTTTAAAAAAAAAAAAAGCATTACATTTTTTCACAATAGACTTTGTAAAGCGTAACTTTTCCAACATAATCATGAGAAACACTTAGAAAAGGGAAGGGATCTTTATTTTTATGAGTACAAACCTAACAGTATAAAGTGTCACCATGATCATGATTGGTACTTTTGTGAATGACTCAGAAAAGCAAGATAGCTCATATCAAAGTCGTTTGTTGTTTGACTCTAATTGTTTGTTTTAACGGCCATTAGAAAGTTTTAAGTGCACACTTTTCCAGTTTCTAAGTTCTTTTTACCCTGAATCATCAAAATGAGAAAACTCTTGCATGTAAACCAATTTTTTATAACTTGTTAATATCCGAAATCACCATGCTCTTGACTTCAAATCCAAGTTTAAAAAGTCTATTTGAAATCTTTAAAGTACTATATTAAACTCTTTAATATAACACACTGTTATATTCTTTGGTTTTATAACTTGTGGTTATACATGTACAGAAGTTGACCTGAACTAATATTTCACATTTTCTTTCTTAGCTTTAATTCTGTTAAATTTTCCCTATATAACTAGTGACATAGATGTGTACGTTGTTAACTTTGTGATTATACTATAATTGGCTCTAGGGGTAAAAAGCTATTCAGTTGCAAAAGAAAGTCCTTTCACCTATTCAGTTTCAAATATATATTCTATGCTTCTTGTGGTGATACTATAATTTATATGATAAAACTCCATTTTCAGGGATTTTTTTCACTGCACAAAGTTTTCCTTAGATATAAAAAATTTTTAAGAACTGAAAAGTTTATTTGAATTCTTACAGTATAATATAAAGCCAACCACTTAACTGGTCTTTTCCTTTTTGCCACTGAACTTGGTACACCGTAGGTGCTTGATAAATACATGTTGATTGAATGGTATAAATTGATATTTCAATTTGAAAATAAAATGTACAAATTAAAGCATTGGGCTTTGAAATAATTTACAATTTTTTGCTGTAATTTCATTTTCAAAATTCTTTTTTAAGGCATTTTCAATTATTTCAAATTTTTCCAACTCTACCCTTCCTAGTTGATTCTTCCTCTGAATTCTTCTTCAAAAACAGATCTTCCATTCTGTTAACACCCAGTGCTTATAAAATATGGGTCATCTGAGCATCCCTGCAAAGAAGGGCACATTTATTTAACTTAGATTTGCTTAGTAGCATCAGTTTCGCAGAAAGTTACTAAAAATCTAAATGTGCACATGCATAAGAGGGATGTTCATATTTAATGTTCTCTTAATCATAGCTTGTGTAGTTAAAAGAGACCTAGGAATACCTATTAATTGGTTCCATTAAGACAGTCTCTGGATAATAAGCCAGACTTATCTCAATGCCTTTTTAAAAGCTAGGTCCTAACAGCATGCCAGAAAGCTCTTTCCTTGCCACTAGCATTGCCAGTGAAGTAGATCATATCATAAATACATATTAGATCTAGGAGAGGAGGCAAATAAACACAGTGCACGTCAAAATCAGGATCTAAATCTAACCCAGTAGTTTGTGTGTTGAGCCGCATCAAATAGGATACGCTGAGTCAAGATGATTACTTTCCCACTTCAGTTGCTAAAAGAATAAAGGATAGTGGAATGTGACCTGTCTGAAGAGTGGTTCATATGTAGATCAATGTAACTATAACTATTTCCAAAAATACTGATGGTGATTTTTCAGCTACATTAAAAGTATAGTGCTCAGAACAAGGTAGGAAGTCTGCTGTATTTTAAGAACTGCTACGACTGGGGAAGGCATTAGGAGAAAAGGATGTAGCATGCCTTCTAGCTGCCAAGCAATATACTAAGTGTTTTACATGCATTATTTTATCCTGTCTTTAGCATAGCATCATTAAGGTAGGTTTTTAATATCCCCGTTTTACGTTACATTTTAAATATACCAAAAACAACAACAAACAACCCAACAGGTGGTAGGAAAGTTTAGCGTTAGAGAATAAACTCTAGGAACATGGTATCTTTCTTCAGGTATCAAATTCAAGAGTTGTCATTCATTTGCGGGTCTGAAGAACAGAACTAGGACCAAAGAGAGAAAAAGATTTCAGTGTACTATTAAAACTGAGGTAGTTAAGATTTTGAAATGAGTTGTTTTGTAAGGCATTCCATTCAACCTCAGAACATAACTAAGGAGAGACCGACTGGGCAGGGTTTTGTGCATAAGGTAAGGAGTTGAACTGGATGACCTTGAATGTTTCTGTTCATTGGAAAAGTGCTAAAATAGGGTAGTTACTGTATTTTAGCAAACCTAGTTGTGAACTATTAGGTACGACTTCACTGTACCGCTAAGGAAGAAAAGAGCTCGACTGAACTATGACAAACCATGAATTACAGAAATGCATACCAATTTCCAAGATGTCCTGCATGGAAAGAATGTGCATATTAGAGTTGATGAGATGTAGACCTTGGAGAAGAGACAATGGACTACTAAAGGGAGACATGACAGCTGTCTCAAATAATAGGAAGGACTTAAATGAAGAGGGCAAGTCTCAAACCAGCGGGCGGAAGTTGGATGAGACATATTTTGGTTCTTTTTATCAAGGTGCAGTCCCACAGTACTGTTTCATAAGGAAGGATTCCATCAACAAAAATGTTCAAGCAGAAACTGGATGATTATCAATTGCTATTGAGAGGACTGCCTTTTTGAGTAAAGAGTTGGATTTGCTAACTCTTGGGCCTCTTTTCAGCTCTGAGATGTTGATACTGGTTTTTTTTGGTCTGAAGTTGAGGAATATGATGTCCTCAGGGCTGAAAGTTAAATGCTCAGTACTTAAATACTTATAAAGCATTGACCCTTCTAAAATGTGCTCTTCCTGAGTCATGGGTGTGTTTACTTGTAATTACTGCCACATCTTTGGAGAGATTCAAATAATCAAAAAAAAGAGTTACAAAAGGCAACTTTATTTAGCCTTTTTTGTTGTTACTTTAGGAGTAAGAATATGAAAGTGTAGTAAAGTACAACAAATAGTCGTGTGTATATTCACCAGATTTATTTATGTATTCTAGTGGTACATTAAAAGGAGGGAAGAGACTGTTTTTGATTAAGTTTCAAGGTAAATGTTTAACCTGAAATTATGCATTGCCTTAGTGTTTAGTCTCCTGTTTTCTGCTGCAGTAGTGATCACACTAGATGAAGCAGTAATCTGATTTCTTATGTAAAAAGAAAACTGATCTTTAAATTTGATGTATAAAAATCTCAGTTTGGGTTGAGATAGCTGCAGGAGCTCAGAGAGTCAAAGTTAACTCTCTAGTTAGGTAATTCTCAAACTTAATGTGCATAAGAATCACCTGAGGAGCATGTTAAAAGTTCCTGTTTAAAGCCTCATATTTAGATATTCTGACTCAAATGTCTAGGGAGAGGCCAGGAATACAGTACTCTAGTAAATGCAGGTCATTTATGAAGTTAATTAACTACAGTTTACACTTAAACTATACCTACTGTGCAAGTACTAACTAGAATAAAATCTTAAAGTTTGGGTGAAATCCAACTAAGTTAATACTGGAATAATGCATTCCTATTTATCGCAGGCATTCATTTGCTTTTTCTTGTATCATCCAATGTTCTAGTGCAGAAACCACATTATTACAGTAGTACTTATTAGAGCAGAATACAAGGAAGGCTAAATTCATTCCTCATTATAAAAAAGCAAGGATTCTTTTTTTTTTTCCTTTTAAATCTTTGCTATTTCCTGGGACATTATGCCAGACCTTAAGTTTCTGCTTCAGTTTGCGTGCATGAGAACTGCTAAGGGCAGTTATATGCATTAGCCATTCTGTGTCCATCAACTGAAAGTTTTTTCTTTAGTACGGTCATCCGTACTACGGTCATCCGTTGTATAAATACTATGACCTGACAAAAATTTAATGATCTATTTCTTTATTGTAAGAGTTCAGTATTCAGTTTAAAAAGCTAATTATTTCCAGATGTTTGCCGTACAGTTTTTCCTCAATCACTTAAATGACTTCTTGAAAATGCCATAAAATTCACAGTAAGTTGTCTTTGTTGTAATAATTTCCTTTCTCTGTTGAAAACACAAATTGCAAGTCTCATAGCTTGTGCTCACCAACTGACACATGCCAAAA